TGCATGTTTGTGTAAATCATATGTCTACTTATCATCAATTACTGCATTAGTCAAGACAGGATAAGATACAGGTATTACTGAAGATCAGATGGAGAGACACAGAATATTAAAATATATGTGAAATGTACGTGTAAACTCTTAATAATTAATACGTTTTATCAATAATATTTAATAATATTTAAACTTTTAATTTCATTAAAAGTATGATATTGGCATTTTCATCATTTAATACTAGAACTACCGACCTGTAATGTCTACATAAATATCATATATCTAAACAATATTAATTAAAGTAATATAATGAAATAAATAAGTATGAATAATACTATTCTTGTTTGAAGAAAAATTAATATTAATTTTCAAGGAAGTATATGCATATTTTCAATTATTGCAAAAATAAAATCCCAAACAAGTTATTTTGACACCCTTGGTAGGTCTAGTATTAAAGATTATGGTTAAAATATTATAATTTATATTGTAATAAATTGCAAATATTTTCATATGTATTAGCAATAGTTAATCAGTGAACTTTGTTAGTTAAAATTTAATTACAACTCAATATAATGAAAACTTTAATATTACACGACATGAAGGGGTATTTAAATTTCCTCACATGGCAGTGTCCAACTACTGTTGGTTTCCGAATAATTTTATCTCTCGAAATTTTGAACGATTCGTGATATAGTTTTGAAACTAAAATTTCGTTTCAAAACATATTTCATTTCGACGTAATTGTTTCCAGGGTATTTTCAGTAATATTCGTTAATTTTCACAATGTCATTTAATAATTTTATAATTGATTGTTTAACATCGAATATTATTAATTATTTTATTTAACTACATGGTATAGTTTAATTAAATAATATTATTTAATATTTATAATACGTATATTTGTACACTTTTCACTCTTAGTCAATTTGTTCATGAACTCTTTGAATATTATTAAATTTTAATAAAATTAACACACGAGTATTACTTAATATACTATAATGTATGTTCTCAAAAATGTATGTAAAATAAAATAAAATAATATTCAATTCTTCCAGAAACCATGCAAAATGAATAATTCATACAACATATAATTGTAGTTTAAACTTACCAAAACATGAAACAAATATGCATCCGAGTACCACTTTGTAACCAATTTTCTCTAAAAATATTCATTTGCATAAACATCCAGTCTAATAATTATTTCTAGTTTATTTTCCAAAAAAGTAACCAACCAATCTCACATAAGGAAAATAATAAATAATACACCTCAAGAAGTATAACAATTCGCATAATATATGACTAAAAGCAACATAAAAATGTTTCTCTGAATTAATTATACTTATTTTGAATTAATCATACAAATTAAGTTTAATAGCAACATGATTTCAAAGTCACGTCTATTAAAAAGAAATACACAAAGCATTATTTACGGATCGTTTCACATAGTATGCAGCTAAAGCAACGAAGAAGTATACAGTGAATTTAATTTTTACCACCTAAATTTCTTGTGCACTGTAAGTAATAAATTTATGCAGCAATGTCTAGAAGGAGAATATTATAGACATTTTTACAAGCTATTATAGATCGTTACGATATAGATTGATTTACACACATTCTTTGGACTCGTTAATTACTGTGATTACGGTTTTTAGTCAATAAATATCATCAATGTGTCTATAGTTCGTTATTTGAATATATTTTTCTTCCACTTTTTCATTCCAATTTTCATTCCCAATGAAAATAAACAAGTGAGCAGTGTCACAAATAAATTGATAGATGTTCATATATTTTTCATTTTTAAAATAAAGGTATTGGTTTCATGAAATTTTTCACTGCAAAGGTGTGTTAGATCTGCACTTAAGGAGTTTCAGTTTCTGAAAGATATTATTAATAATAATATTCTGAATAATTTTATTCTATATATATTTATATCTATTCCCTTCATGTTGTGTAATATCAAAGTTTTAAGAATCATAAATTAATTTTAACTGACAAAATTCACTGTTTAACTATTGCTAATACGTATGAAAATATTTGCAATTTATCACAATATAAATTACAATATTTTAATCATAATCTTTAACACTAAAACTACCAAGGGTGCCAAAATGACTCGTTTGGGATTTTTTATTTTTGCAATTATTGGAAATATGCAGCTACTATGTATAATAAAAAGAATATAAATAAACAACGAAGAATAATAAAATATAAGTACATATTTAAAATTTTTTTTCTGTAGTTCTATAATTATGTATAATAAAAGAAAATGATCCAAGTAAATATTACTTAGTTTGATCAAAGCTATTACAATAATGAAATAATGTCACATCTTGTTTAAAGAAAATGGTGGAAAACCCTTCATCCTCACCTGTCGCTTTTTGTTTAAAAAGCTTGTTGCACACTGAAAAATTAGTCTCACTGGACCACCTAACTTATAAAAAAAATGTATTGATATAATCATTAATAATGTTGTCAAATTAATGTTTGTGGTTTATTTTATATTAAACATAAAGTGAATGAAGTGTCAAATTCATACTGAATTTCTTAAAGAAAGTCGGACACTTTCAGAGTATATTCTCACGTGGCAGAAGTTCCAGTCGCAAAGGGTTAACACTAAATGTGGCGCCACGATCTTCATGCCCTTTTAACATTCCACTTTCCCTCATTTATCCCAGGTCAGGCCCCGTTGGGTTCTCAGCGACCTCACCACGTTACCCGTTTACCTTTGTCACATTTTCTTCTTTGTTTCCGCTTCCTTGGTATATTTTCAGTGAATTCACACGGAATTTAACACGGAAATGTATACCTTCATATTCATTATGAGACTATTATTGAAGAGAAAGGGTATTAAAAAAGGGTATTAAAACTTTCTACCTTCGTTTTATTTCAATTGTTATTATAATTATTATAATAGTATAGTATGTATAACAATTTTGAATTTATTATAGTTATTTATAAATAACTATGGTATTATAGATTATTATAATATTTAATTTCATATATTTTATAAACGTCACTAAATTTCAGATGGTATTAAAGAAAATTTTAAATATGTTAATATTAATATTCTTTACCTTTGAAAAATTTTATTTTTATTCTAACTAAATTTTTTTAACGCACGATTGGTACTTGTTTATTGTACAATGTCCAATCTCTCGAAAATAATAATTAAATCCACCAAATAGTTTGACAGAAATATATTTATTTACATTGTCAGTTTACATTGACAGCAAATATTCGTGAAATGTTTGCAGAAGGAAATATATATTTAATCTCGAAACCAAATAAAAACGTAACTCCAATAATACACAATATTAATCGAGGTTGCAGTCAATCCTAAAAATGGACGATATCAAAAATAAAAAACACAATTTCTCTCTTCATGGGGAATTACAATACAAAGTGACAAAACCAAATACTTTGTTTAATCTATTTCCAAAATGAAATGAAAATTCAATTTTGATAGTACAATACCAACCGATAATGCACTAAATTTTAAATAAAAAATTATCCAAAATAAGAAATACGACTCATCATATCTTTCCCCTTAGATCTTCAATTATTATTTATTATCCTTTAAAATCAACTTTGTCTAATACAACTTTATTCATCTCCATTTATTTCACGCCAAATATAAATTCAATTTTCGTAACATAAAATTAATCGACATTCTACTAAATTTTAAAACAGCTCTGTCATGAAAGAAAAATAACAAATATGTCTCGCCATATTCTTCCCATTTAATCTTCAATCGTTACCTCGTAAAAGCAACTTTGTGCAGTGCAATAGTATCTATCACGACATAACCTATACCGTAACAAAGAAACATAAAATCTGCCGAAGACAAGCAAAGCTTCCAAACTTTTGTCAATGATTCATACCGCTGCGTTACACCTTCCAGAAGAAAATAACCAACCACGCTCGGGTAGGCCCAATGGAAACGCGACGCAGTCGGTGCAGCCATTAGCCATTTAACGTCAGCTCGAAGAGAGTGTTTCATCGGTGAACGCGAAATAATTGAAACGCTGGTCATATGGCAGTGCGACAGACAAAGAAAACGCTTGGAAAGGAGATCTGAAAGATAATTTTCCACGTTCCTCGTACGCCCTTTGGCGCTCACATCCGTCTATAACCTACGATTGTGGAACAGTATCTCGTGGCACGTGCATTAGCGACACCTACTCGCGCTTCGAGCATTTCACGTAGGACGCGCGACCACTGCGCGCGAGTTGCACTCGCATGAGCCAATCGCTAGTCAATGAAAGATTTCGTAATGACTACGATTTCGCGATGAATAGACACCCATTAACTCCTTAACCGCCTTTTTATACGCTCAACTCAAGCTTTGTGCGAACGAAGCAGGGATGAGTTCGTTTTTGAACTTGCAGTTCAGGTTTTGTGGCAAACCGTTAGAGGAAGTGACATAACGACTCTGTGTGTGAATTCTAACCCTTAACATCTGTCACATCGCTGATGACAGATGTCATTTATGCGAGATAAAAATTTCTACCTCGATTATTCGAATTAGTTGCGAGCTTTAGGTATTCGAATGAGAGAATTTCCAGATAATATGATTTCTTGATTTTACTTTATATATATATTTTAAAATGTAATTTACATTATATAATACATTTTTATACGCGTGTGTATTTATATATATATATAAGTCTGCTATTTTTTGCACAAATTATTTTTGAAAAACAGAATTGAGTGCACTGTTTTAATATTTTATTTGATTAATAAATGTTAATTTTACATATCTTCCTGTTGTTAAACTTTTTGTTTGATTATTTTGTATTTTGTAAGTGGGATTAAATGGATTTGAAAATTTTTAGATAAAATATTTTCGTAATCTGAAGGTTGTGGTTTTTAAATAATTCGCTTTTTACTTTGCGATATGTATTAATATTGGAATAATGTCTAATCGCGTGTATTATTGCACATGGTCGTTAATTATTGTTCCTAGTCATAATAGTGTATTATGAAGATTAACAAGAGAATTAGCTCACCTCTTGAACCCAGGCTTGTTGTTTGATCGGTGCATCCGGTGCAATGGCGACTCTTCCGGCAGTCCTTTGTTTGTACTCGTGAAGAATAGGGATCTTGGAATTCTTGTCTCCTGACGACAGAACAACCTCTCGTTCAATCTGTAAACAGAGGAATTTCTCAAATTAACATTTACGTATACACTTGAACAAAATTAGTAAAAGATTATTGATTCTTCCGTTCCTTATGAAAAATTTCAGACATTTATTCAAATTGATTTATTCGACCTTTATATCGACATAAATTTTGTATTGCCACATTAAACAGTCGATCATCGTTAAAATAAAGTGTGTTTTCTTGTACCATCGTTAAAAATAAGCGACTTTTAAAAGCTTCTAGCCACTTCTGGAATTTGTACCTTCTAAAAAATGGAAGCTTTCAAACAGTTCCTTATTTCGAACAAAAATATTTGAACACGCTTAGCTGCAATACCTAATTTTATTTTTCTAAAAATCCATAATATATCAGGATTTTAAAACAGTAAATTAAATTGAACAAAATAGAAAATATAATAAAATAATTCTTAATTCGCTTAAATATATGCATTAAATTGTAGCTGTGAATAAATAACTGAACCTAAGTACACCTTCGAATTATTCCTTCCTTTTCTACGTAATTTTTCAATCCTTTAAGTTTTACATAATTATTCAGTGCAGCATCCTGAACGCAAGAATAGACTCGCACCTGCAAATCGTCAATAAACGATCATGTACGTTTGACAAGCGAACGAATTACGCTCGGATTACATTACCATAAATACGTAGACTCGATGATAAAGCGTCAAAGCGAAAGCTCGGTTGGCTGGCGCGCATTAAGGCAACGTTTCCACGACGCGACAGGTCGTCAGCTAGGATTTCTCATCGTAAACGTCGCCCGTCGGTCTCGGTTCCACGATATCCATGCGATTTTTCCAAACAACATCGAGAACAGGATCTGGAAGTTCGCGAGCACTGCTCGCACACTCTTTGCGTGCATATAATAATGCGTCTAAAAAGAGGTGTCACTGAACTAAACTCGCCTTGAGATCGCATTGCGGCCAGAAGAAAGCAACCGTGATAAAGGCAGAGCCACCGTGGCAGAAAATGAACTAAGTCTAATCGCAGTCGGTAAGGTAGATACCGCTTGTGAATAATTCTGTGGACACGTCCACGTGATTTTGTATATTACAATTAGCCAGGAAAATGAGAAAAAAAGGTATAGAGAGGAAAATCTTGGAGCTTGTTGCTGAGTTCACAGTCCGTGAAACGTGTTCACCGTTACCCGTACGAAACGATTCCTTGCACCGAGCTGTCATGTTAGAAATATTTAGTGAAATTTCATATTTTACTGCCAGCTTTGCGTGTACTAATTATAGTAATGTGTCATGAAAACTACCGGTTATAACTGAGGTTGTTTTACAGAATTCTCGTTTCTATATTTGAATGTCAAGTTTTTATGTTAAATAATGAGAACGTTGACATGTATAAGGGGAAATATAAAGGTATGGTTACGTAATAAATATTTGTTATTCCTCATTTGTTATGTCATTCCTGTATTTGTTAATCATGCAAATGTGAAGCTTAATATATTTATGCCACTAATTATGAAAGTAGTTTAAATAAGAAATCTGAAAGAAATGTCTTTTTATTATTTATTTTGAACTGCATTCGTTTTATTACAATAAAAGAAAATTATTTTATTTTGATAAAAATATGTTGGGCCCCACTATGTGTATATACGCTCCTGTTTTCATAAGTATTCAGTCTCGGTTAGATTAATTAAGTTAGTCAGCTTCGGATTTCCTCCAGTTGAGTTTAATAAAAATGAATGATGTATAAATATAATTTATAGGTTAGAATATTAATACATCAAAGTGAAACTAATTTAATATACTCATATATAATTTAAATGATAGAATAATTTGGAATAACTCAGACTTTTATATATGTCATTTTAGAAGTAAGCAAATTTAGGTTCGAAATCTTGAAATTTTGAGATATCTAAATAATTGACTTCATCAACGAGTAATCTCACGATTGATAATAGAGTGCCTCTGTTTTAGCCTTAGTGACTTGAATAGTCTTATATGGAGTTACTAGCAACATGCACGAAACGATATTTCACATTGCTTTACTACCTCGCTTTGCCCCGGTTTCCCTTAGTATTAAATGGACTTAAGACCGAACACAACCGTAACATTCCCACTTAATATCTAACCTAAACCGTTCAATATGCAATACATGTAACTGTCCAGTAACAACCAAGAACCTTGTCTTTGGGTATTCTAGCTATATTGGGTACTCCGTATCTAGTCGTAAATATAACATAACCTCAAAGCGTAATTTGAATTGTCGTAAATAATTACTTATCAGTTACTAAATAATAATTACAAACACTGCTTTCCTGTATTTTATATTACATCATCTTAATATGCAATTAGTGTTTAAAATAATATACTATTATTATATTATATACAATATTGTTATTGCTTTCAGAAAATAAAAAATAATCGAAAATAATAATCTTCTTGACATAACTATTTTAATAATTGTACAGTAACAATATGTAATAATAGTATTATTAAATAAACAACAGAGAACTTAAATATATTTTATATTTTGAAAGAAAAGTTTATCAAAGAAAGGGAATGGGAAGTTTTAAATTACATCATTTCGCTTCTATACTTGTAAAACATTTCTATTAATATTATAAACTAAATTGGAATCTTCTATATAAATTTACGTAATGTCACATAACTCCCATTGAGGATATTTCTGGATTATTAAAATAAATAAAAAATGAAAAATAATCTATATAGTATACATACTATATACTATTATACTATACTATACTACTATATAATGCTACTCTATACCACTATATACTACTATACTATACCATTATGTACTGCTACACTATACTACTATATACTACTATACTGTACTATTATATACTGCTACAATATACTACTATATACTACTATACTATGTACTATAATAAATAGTACAAATTGAAATAAAACTAGTTGATTACTAAATTACAATAACAATTGTGACAAAATTTATTGCATTAAGTATAAAAGGGCTTAAATAAAATTTCTGAATAAGTGTTTCTCGAGGATGATGAAGATACAATTTAAATTCAAGGAAATATAGTTTTATTTTTAATGGAGACAACTTATTTTGAGTATCATCTTTCAGAAGTATTGAGCCATTACTTGTAACTGAGATACGAATTTATAACGGCGTAGAACTGAGAAATTAAGAAATTCGTAATTTGAGAACTTTCACCGACTTTTTACTGCCATGGGAACTTAATTATCGATGTTTTACGTGAATTATAGCGGTATAACGGTTTATGGACTGTAAACTGCCGGCAATAAATTATCATTATTGACTTAAGGGAAATTTTAATTAACACCACAAATGTTGGTCTGACTTTAAAAGTGTTCCGTGAGAAATTGATTTCTGACAGAAAATACATAAACACCTTCTTATATACACAGTGTTCCATTTTCCATTTAGTTCCATTTTAAAATAAATATTTTGGAAGATACGTTAGGTGGGAGGATAATGCTGATCCAAATTGAAAGTTAAGCGAGGGCGCCACTGTCAATGTTCATTTATATTCATCAATTCTAAGAACTGCTAGTTTTCTATAAAACTGGCTAATTAACACGTATAATTAGAGATCATGATTCTATATTCTTGCAAAATAACGATCCAATGTTGTCGATAGAAACTATATATTGGAAGAGTTATCACAAGTAGTTGCAATATAACCTCTTAATATATTAACAAAATACTGATTCGAGTCATTATATACACAGAATTAAGCAAATGATTTGAAATTTATAAAACTTGTAGTGCTTCCTGAAGAAATAAAAATACATTTTAAGATCAATTTATATTTATAATAATAATTTTGTATTATATTTACGAAATGGAAGTGGTTTGTCAATGATAACTAGAATAATGTAATTACAATAGGTATTTTAAATAAAAATTGCTTTTAACGTTAGTTGAAAAATGTAATAAATATTAAGCCTTTGCACTCGAGAGGTGATCTTCAGTCACCATTTCATAAAATTTGAAGATCGATATTAATTAATATATCAAATTTAATGTAATGTGACAGTGTGCGAGGTAACGAAATCAAATAATTCTACAATTCTATTATTATACAATTCTTTATTTACTGCTCAAAAAGGTATCGTCAGTTTTTAGTAGAGAATCTTTGAATTTCTTCTGTCCTCTAGTCAAAAAATCGTTGAGTGCAAAGGGTTAATAATTTATATATTTAACGTTCAGAAATAAATGATGATTAAATATTTTTCACTCTTTTCAATGAATATTGACAGTTGTAAAGTGTTATATCTGGACACCCTATAAATTCACTTGTATTTACATTATCCCGTATTATGCACCATAATTACAAACGTTAAAAAAGGCATTTTTGATAAGGCATTGTACATACATTGTGTATGGAATGAGTCATATGAGGCTTCCATGTCCCATTTAGATATATCTCCAAGATATGTATCTAAAGAGCCTAATTAACATTATCTTATGGGCCAAACATGAGAAAGATGTATAACTTCAGAAATATCTAGGAGACACTTTTATATACAGAGTGGCTTAAATCAACTGTCTACTCCTATCAAAATGGAAAATTGAAAAAAATTGTAATTACTAATTAATTTTTATATAAGTTTGACGTAGATTGTTTATTGAAACTGTTTAATTAATCAGAAAATTAACCTCTTGATACGATTCATTATTAAAAGTCTATTCCACGGTGACAACAATTTTGTAAGGCACTACAGCCATGAAATTATTAAAATAATTAGTCAAAGATCGAATTTACTGTGATATATGCATGTATAAACTGGAAGTTCATTAACACAGATATATAACAAATTTGATAATATATACATATACACACGTTATACACACTATGAATTGACTTTAATTAGGATGTACTTATGATATATATATATATAGGACGTAATATAAGCACTCAGGAATTAACAATTGATAAATTAAAAATTTTTGGAATTATTAATATTACATTTCGTAAATGAAATAAATGAATTGTTATAATAGATATTTTATTGTTATTG